GGCGCGGCGACTCACGGGACGGGGCTTAAGGGAGCCCCGCGGCCTGGAAATTTGACGTCAAGGGCGTGGGCGGGGCCAGAGCCCGAAGGCGGGGCCGTAGGCGGAGTCTGAAGCCCGAGGGAGACAGCTGCGGCCGGTTGAACGGACTCGGGCTCGGGCTTTGCCGGAGTCGGACGACTAGTAATTGCCCTGCTGTGCCCTGCCGACACGCAACGTCGTCCTTGCCTTCTGACTGTAAACCTCAGGCAGGCAGGCATTTTCATTTTTTTAAATATATATTTTTATTGATTTCAGAGAGAAGGCAGAGGGAGAGAGAGAGAGAAATATCCATGATGAGAGAGTATCATGGATCGGCTGCCTCCTGCAAGTCCCCCACTGAGGATCGAGCCCACAACCCGGGCTTGTGCCCTTGACCAGAATCGAACCTGGGACCTTTCAGTTCACAGGCGGACGCTCTATCCACTGAGCCAAACCGGCTAGGGCTTCATTTTGTTTTTAACTGTTCTCTCCACAGCGCCTACAACAGCTGGTAGTGAATAAACAGACGTTGCTGCTGTTGATTAGACTGGAATTAGGCCATTATCACTTTCTACTCGTCGCTCATTACCAAAAATTATCAAGATTCCCCTGCAAATTGAAAATGCCATGAGGAAAGTCTGTATCCTGGACTGGACTGGGCTGGGGTGGGGGGGCGGAGGTGTAAAGGGTCTTTTGGAGAACGTTTTTAGTAGGTCAGCCATTTAGGTATGTACACTCTCCATATGGACTTGTTTATGCCAATGGATTGCACTGTGGGGTCCACCCTGTGAGCATAAGGAATTCCGAGGTGCAGTTACAGTATTAAATCATGGGATTTGAGAGTTGAGAGATCCCGGGAGGAAAAGTGACTTACCTGTGGACATAAAGGAACCAGATGCTGTTTCTGAACTCTAGGGCTGGTGACTTCTGAGAGGAAGAGGCCAGTAGAGAGGGACAAATATTCCAAATGCCTGGAACAGTGCCAAGCACATAGTAGGTTCTCCAAATGTTTGATCCATTATTTAATTTCTTTTGAAGGAATAACTCCAAGCACTAATTTAGGGGAAACTAAAAACTACAGAAACTAATATAGGCACCTGTGGGTACTACCCCCAAATATTTACAATTGCTTCAAATTATTTTTGAAAATGTGGAAGAAAAAGGATTCTATGGAAAGCAACCTCACAGGGTGATCTGATCGTAAATTCCTAACTGGGCAGGTCGTGGTGGGTAGTCACACCCCGTGCCTGTAACTTCTTCGGTGGAAGGTTTTAAGCCAGCTCTGCCCATTGTTCTTGTGCATCAATGAAATACCAGAAGTAATTTCTGACTGGACCACACTGGGGATTTTGCTTCCTCCTTTTTGCTCCCATTGTACTCTTTAGAGTTCTGAAATAACATGGGAAACCAGCTCTCTGACATCCCCTGAAGGGGTCCCAGATTGTGAGAGGGCAGTTCTCAGGTAATGCACCCTGAAATCGGGCTCCCTCCTCTCTGGTTCTGGGGTGCGTCACCCAAGAACCACCGCTGCCAAGTCACTGTAGCTCAGCAGTCCTGAATTGAGCATCTTCCCCCTGGTGGTCATTGCATGTCATAGCAACCGGCCAGACGGTTGGATGGTTGCTTAGCCTTTTATGTACACTGAGTGGCCAGATTATTACAACCACCTGATGTTTGACCCCACATGCATGAGTACAACCCTTCAAGGTGGTGGGGGCAGTGTTATGGTTTGGGCATGTTTTCCTGGCATGATTTGGGCCCTTTAATTCATGTGGAACGTCTGAATAGCACAACATACCTACGTATTGTTGCTGATCAAGTTCATCCTATCATGTTGATGGCGTCTCCCAATGGAGATGGCTTCTTCCAACAAGACAATACGCCCTGCCAGGGTGCTCATATTGTGTAGGAGTCCTTTCAAGAACATGAGGGACACTTTACCTTGCTTAGGTGGCCCCCACAATCACCAGATCTCTATCCAATTGAGCATTTGTGGGACGAAGTTAAAAGAGCCATCAGGCAGCTGGTTCCACAACCATCAAATCTCACAGAACTGGACGGTGCTATTCATCAGGCATGGTGTCAGATTCCTCACATCACCTTTCAACATCTCGTGGAGTCAATGCCAAGAAGAATCGCCGCAGTACTGAAGGCAAAAGGTGGCCCAACGAAGTACTGATGGGGTGGTCATAATAATCTGGCCACTCAGTGTATATAGACTAGAGGCCCAATGCATGAAATTTGTGCAAGAGTAGGTCTTCCTTCCCCTGGTTGCCAGCACTGGCTTCCCTCTGGCACCCGGGACCTGGGCTTCCCTCGCAGCCCCGGCTTTGTCCGGAAGGACATTCGGTCTAATTAGCATATTATGCTTTTATTATTAAAGATATGCCAAGTTTTGCTCATAGAGCGTAGAAGAACAGGCAGAGATTCAGATCTGGCCCATACACTGTACTGCCAACTGTGAATTTAGGACACAATCCTCCCTACATCACTGTAAGGAAGTCGGGTAGTAGCCTCCCCATTTTGCACAAGCATTAGAAGTCAAAGAGACTTTAGAGTCCTTCCAGTCTAGTTTCCCTCTTCTTCTCCTCTCCTCCATTTTATAGATGAGGAGATTCCAGTGCTTAAAGGGAAGATGCCTGGCTTAAGTCCTAACTACCTCCTCTACTTAATTCCAAAAACAAAAATTTTAAACTATCCACAGCCACAAAATCCTCCTGCCACATTCTCATTAGCAGTTAATCTTTTTTTATATAAAAAATATACTAAAGGAATTTACTCTAATAAACACCTTAAAATTAAGGACTCACTAAGCTAGTCTTAATATTTAATTTTCATCATTAAAACCTGTACAATGCAATTTACAGTGAGAGTTGCATTGTAAATGAGAGAAATTTTGATTAGTGAGGTGACATGATGATATCTATGGGAAAATTATACAGAGAATTAAAAGTGGTTAATACTAAAATACCATTAAGGCACCCAAATTCTCCCAAAGCCTCTGGAAGCTCTCCAAAGCAAATTTTATTCCAGAATTTCAAGGACAAAAGGAACGGCGGTTCGGTTATAAATAGCAGAGGAATTGCTTCTGCCCATGAGGCTGCGGTCAGTGGGGTCGGCCAGGATGGGGCTGCAGGCCAGAGGTTGCTGCTCTCACTGCACGAACATCTGGAACCCAAGCTCCAAGCAGAGTCCTTTTCTCTTGTCCATTGCGTGTGTCCTCTCCAGACCAGAGCTTGGGCCATACTGATGCTCAGTCAAGGATGGTTGAAGGATGAAGATCAGTCTGCAAGAGGTGAGTCCTGGGAACTGATCTCTGAATTTTTAGGGTACAGGTTCCAACAGCTGTGAGACCATTGTTTAAAAAAAATCTTAAAGGATATTTCCCCAACCAGGAGCCCCATCAGAAGGTAGTCACCCCTGGATGACTATCTTTTCATCTATCCTTAGCTTGTCACTAACTTTTGGAATTATTGTACATTCCGGATGCAATGAATGCATTGAGAGTACTGCCTCTAGCCCGGCCAGTGTGGTTCAGTGGTTGAACTATGAACCAGGAGGTCTCTGTTTGATTCCCGGTTGGGGCACAGACCTGGGTTGTGGGCTCGATCTCCAGCAAGGGGCATGCAGGAGGCAGCCAATCAATAATTATCTCTCATCATTGAGGTTTCTATCTCTCTCTCCCACTCCCTTCCTCTCTGAAACCAATAAAAAATATTTTTTAAAAAGAGGCAACTAAATATGATTACTTAATGGTCTATTGGTAAACTTTAAAAGAGAGAGGGAGAGTACTGCCTCTTAACTGTTAAACAATTGAAAATTCAATGAGGGCAATCATGTTTATGAGTGAGTCAGAAGTGTTTAAAATGCAGACATTTATAAAAAGTCCTAAGAATAAGAAATTCCCAGAATAATTTATTACCTACACATTTCAATTTTCATGGGAAGTTCTAATTCTCAGCAAACATTCATCGTCACTCCCCCATTTTATAGATAGCCACTCAGCAGAAGTTAAATGAGTAGTTGCCAAGGTCACACAGAGAATAGAAATCTAAATAATTCATGATTTTAGCTCTCTCTCTCGCTATTTGTTAGATTTAAATATTGGGGGGCTTGATAAAAATTTCATCCAGCCTCTGACTTGCTTCCTTGGTGATGGACTGCATATTTGCTGCTCTCTGCTACCCTCTGTTGATAGAAGGAAAGTTTGGATCTCAAGACCATAGTTGTCAAAATTCTGTGTCGGGAGCAGCATTATCAGCATCACCGGGAACTGGTGAGAAATCCAAATTGTGGGGCCCACCCCCAAACACTGAACTCTGGGGGTGGGGCTCAGGAGTCTGTGTTTTAACCTCCAAGGGATTCTGCTGCAACTTGGTAATACTTTTCTGTGTAGGTACTAATGTCCTGGCCTCCGAATCGTCATAAAGATGACAAAGCATCTTTCCACTGCTTCTGTCCTCAGGCCTCACATAGTGGTATATACCACAGTGCCATATACGGAGGTCTTTCATGCCCATTCATTCTCTCAGCCCTCTGCAGTAGTTTGTAGGATGTTTAGCAGCATTCCTAGCCTCTACCAACTAGATGTCAGGTCTGTCGCAGTCCTGTGAAATAAGCAAGGAGGGACCACATATCCATTTTACAGATGAGACGACCGAGGCTCAAGAAAGGTCAAACAACTTGCCCAGGTTACTCACCTTGAAGTGGCAGGTCCGGACTTGAATCCATGTCTTCTGTCTTTACATCAGGTCAAGGGTTTCTTTAACTAATCCATGACAGGGTTTCTAACGTTTTGGCCAGATCATATGGGGTGCTTTGTTGTGGGGTGCTGTGCAGTAGTTTGTAGGATGTTTAGCAGCATTCCTAGCCTCTACCAACTAGATGTCAGGAGCACCTCACCCTGGTAGTGACAACCAAAAATGCCTCCTAATATTACCAATGACTCCCAAGGGGCAGAGTAACCCATGGCTGAGAACAGAGACCTGCAGCCAACACATAAATGGGGAGAAATATCACAATTCATGTTCTGCAGTTTCTTTATACTTCGGAGATGGTTTCAGAACAAATAGCTTAATTTTTGGCATCTAGGCCATCTATGAAGTGAATGCATAAGACTAAATGTTGATCTCCACCAGCTCCTTGTAAAATTCTTCACCATCCCTTAAGAAAATTAACAATAATTCCGTAAGATCATCTGGCATCCAGTATGTATGCACTTAAATTTCCCTTAGTTGTCCCAAGAATATATTTCATAGCCTTTTGACTTTCCACGCAGACTCTGATCCAGACTCTAAGCTGCTTTCAGTTGCTGTGTCTCTCTAGTCTCTTTTAGTCTAGAAATGGTGGCTGTGGGGCATATCTGACTTCTCACCTGCTTTTTAAAAAAAATATATTTTTATTGATTTCAGAAAGAAGGAAGAGGGAGAGAGAGATAGAAATATCCACGATGAGAGAGAATCATGGATCGGCTACCTCCTGCAAGTCCCCCACTGGGGATCGAGCCCACAACCCGGGCATGTGCCCTTGACCAGAATCGAACCTGGGATCTTTCAGTTCGCAGGCCAACACTCTATCCACTGAGCTAAACCAGCGAGGGCCCACCTGCTTTTGTAAGAAGGTGTTTGCTTGAACTTGTTTTTCATTTATGTATGTGGTAGCAGAGTTGAGTAGTTGTGACAGAAGCTGTATGACTCACAAAACCTACAGTATTTACTATCTGGCCCTTTACAGAAGAAGTCTGCTGATCTAGGATTTAGAACTAGCCTCTTGCCTTCATTTTTTAATATACTACTGACTGTTTCAGGAGTCCAGAACAATTGTTTATGGAAAACCTCTTCTTTTAGATTGGCCTGATTACATACACTTACATATTAAATTTATTGAAATTTCACACACTGTGAAATTTTAAATATATATATTTAAAAGTATAAAATGCTTATGAAATTCTCTTGCTCCATGGGCCACATTAAACAACGTTCTATGTGCCAAAATTATAAATGAAATCAAAGGGAAAACAACAAATTAAAAAATAATTACAATTCCAGGATCTTGTCTCTTTTCATACTTTATTTTCCAGGGAAGAGAGGGAAAAAATGTCATGTCTGACATATGGTAAATAGTTTTAGCTACAAATGGAGGTTAAACCCTTACTGACCAAATTTCTGTATCTTTTTTTTTTTAATCCTCACCTGAGGATATGTTTCCATTGATTTTTAGAGAGAGAGGAAGGTAAAGAGAGGGAGAAAAAAATTGATATGAGAGAGAAACATTGATCGGTTGCCTCCTGTACTCACCCCGACTGGGGATTGAACCCGAAACCTGGGTATGTGCTCTGACCAGGAATCATACCTGTCACCTTTTGTTATATGGAACGATACTCTCACCAACTGAGCCACCTGGCCAGGGCAACTTTCTATATCATTTAAATAGAGAAAGTAGTAGGACAACCAGGGGTCTCCTTTGGAAAATCGTAATATATAATTTCAATTAAATGCGCTGGAGTGCATAGAAACTCAGACACACACACACACAAAGACCGTCAACACTGAGTGCCAGGTCATCTGTGGAGCAACATGCCTGACATACAGAAAGCGCTAACTGTCCATGGGATAAGCGAATGGATACCATTTCTTTACACAGTTGGGCAGGGCAGGTTGTCACAAAAATATTCACACCCATTATTAGATGATGATGATGATGATGATGATGATTATTACTGTTTTAGTGTAACAAGCATCTGCATCATAGTAGAGGCTTGGCCTGCTGTTCTGTTGGGAGCTCATGCGTGCTCATTGAAATAGGCTTCAGTTACCTGGGAACATGGTCTTAGGGACAGGGGTACAGTGCATTGATCGTACGCATGTGTGTATATGGGAAGCTAGAAAGCGTCCACCCTCGCCTTCCAGGCAACCTGGTCACTCTGATGAATAGTACCTTCCTTCTCCACCTACTCTTTGGACACAGTATGTCTATCCTACTAATCATGTTAAGACATTCTGAGTGAAACATAAATCATAATGAAAGAAAGCACGGCTGACCGACTCCATCAGTTCCATAACACGGCCGAGGCTGCATGCCATATAATGTCTCTCCACTTCTCTATAATGTCATTTAACCTATAAAAAAAAATTACACCTCCCTAAACCACAGTATATATTTTACAGTAACATTTAGGGAAAAAAGTTGATAGTCCTCTATGCTAGCACAGCTCACACACATGGCACTGAAGAGCGAGCTGTTGGTCAGAAATCAGGCTGAAGGTTTAAAGAATTCCTGGCTGGTTCTTGAGAAGTGGGTCTTTCTCCTTGCTGCCGGGGAAGAACTTGACCTTTGCGTGCTCCAGGAAAACGTTCAGTCCTTTGCCATTGATCCCAGCACCGTTTTCTATTGGTTTGTACTCCTTGCGTTTTCTGAAAAGCAATGTGTTAGAAAGATTTTTAAAACATCCCCACCTGGAAGATATTACTTTCCCCACGCTTTTACATGCCCAAGTACAAAAGGGTTCATTTCGTTTCACCTAATCTATGGCTTTTACTAAGACATGGATCTCTTTTGGAAATAAGTTTATTTCCTCTTCTTCATGCAAGACATGTGCCTGTTTACTATAATTTGAGCTTCCATGTTAAATATTGAGCTGACACAATTTTGCTAAGTTGCTGACATCTGGTAGCGTTGTTTGGATTAAAAAAAAACACACACAACAAACCGCAGCAAAATCAACAGGCTAGTTTGGTATTCATCATTCAATGGAAGATTTTCCTCCTACACACAAAACGGTAAAAAGCCAAAAAGGGGAAAATGGCCCATTTGCGCAGCACATTGCTACTTATTTTCAACAATGTACCACAGTGATGGAAAGTGTTAGAACCAGCAACTTACTTGTACACCACCAGGGCGATCACAGCGACAAATATGGCCAAGCAGCCCACGAAGGCCAGGGCACCACTCGCCATTCTCACGGGGGAGCCTGGGCCTTAAAAACAGAAGAAAGACCAGATTAGCGACAGCTTCCACCTGGAGGACATGCAGCTTGTAGTGCAATTAAACAAATGACCAAGGGAGCTCTCAGAAGATACATGGCTCCCTCTGGCTTTCCGCGATCTTTTCCATTAAATATAATACATGGCCTTTGGGTCAGCTTATCTTCCATTTGGAGAACGAGTTAGCGTGTCTGGAACACCGTGTTAAGGGCTCACGGGAGAGATGTCGCGTCCTGAAGACACCCGCTCAGGTCTCAGTGGACCCAGCAGCGCCCAGGTGAGGGAGGGCTCCCTGATCCTCCCGCCCACTGCTCTGGCCTCATGGTCCCCTACCTACCTACCTACCTACCCGCTGTGCTGGAAACCTGGGAGCTGCCCATCCTCCCCACACCCTCAAATCCCCCCGCCCTCTGCAAGAATGTCCTTCCCCAGCTCGTCTCGTGTCCAGATGTTCATGAGGCGGTGGTCGCCCCTTCCTTGGTCACTGCTCGCCTCTCTTCCTCTGCCTCAATCCTGTTGTGTTGCAATTACTTCCTTACATACATTTCTCTCCTATTAAATTGTGAGAACCACGAAGCAAGGGTTATGTCTTCTCTGTACTCCAGGAACCCAGCAAATCTTGTCTCTACCGCCAAAGTATAACTGGAGTTGATCTATTTTCCCTCCATCTCCTCCGCCACCACCATTGCCGTCCCAGCCACCAGCCCTCTCCCCTGGGAAGATCTCTTACCCCCAATGACCCTTGCTGCATTCAGCAGTCAGTAGGACCTTCTGAAAGCATCCATTAGGATCATGCTTCGATCCCACCAGTGGTTCCCCTTACGCACAGAATAAAACCCTGGCCCTGCAGGTGGCCTGCAAGGATCGCAACGGGCTGCTCATGATTCAAATTCAGGTCTCGGTTCAGTGGAGGCCCCTCACCACGTGGGCACTGCTGGGTCGGCAGGAAGTCCCCGGACCTCCCAATCTGAAAGCCAGCATGTGTCGCCTCTCTCCCATGCTAGTCACTCTCCCTGCCCTGCCTTGCTCTGATTTCGTCAGCAATGCCTTCTAATCTGTTTGTGCTCCGTGTCTGCTCACTAAAGCAGGGGTCTTCTTCGTCTCGTTCCCCACTCGACCTAGAACCGTATAGCCTGTGCCTGGAGCCGTGCTGGGCACGGAGTAGGTGCTCACTGAGTATCTGTTGAAAGAATTGCAGCTGCTTCGTGGGTGTTCATTGGGTCAATGCGTAAAAGCTGAGCATCTATGGATTTGCCTTTGAGCAATGATCTATTTTTCTGAATTCTGATTTTGATTCCTGAGTCACCAAGGGACAGCCCCACTGGATTCAAAGCTCTCCTGGACGTCCTTAATTTGCATTCTGACAGATGGCTCGGGTCACCCCTAAAGCTATCACTCACTACAAGAAGCATTAAACACGCATCTCTCATCGAGTCCAGATAAGAGAACAGTGGTTTGCCGGCACCGAGGAAGCTTCACAGCCTAGGGCAGTGGTCGGCAAACTGCGGCTGGCGAGGCACATGTGGCTCTTTGGCCCCTAGAGTGTGGCTCTTCCACAAAATACCGACTTCTGCGCATGGGCCACGAAGTTTCAATCACACTGTACGTGCGCGCCCGCAGTGGTATTTTGAGTTAGTCATTAGGTTGTACCTGGCAGTACTCAAGGGGCAAACCGAGTATAATGTGTATACAATTTCTTCCTTCCATTCCACCACAGAGCACCGCTTCTAAGAGATAAAGCCGTAACTTCACAACAAAACTGGGGATAAATGAAATTACGTTAGGGTCACCAGGTAGGGACCTTAACTTGAGGTTGGGAAACATTGGAAGCCACCAGTACATGAACATTTCTCAATGAAATGTCTTAGTCCATTTTGTAAACATTTACCTCTCCAAGCATTGGGAGGGGCAAGATTGATTTTTCTGGCGACCTTCCGAGGAATAGGTAAGTTGGTTTCCTACAGTCTCCGTGGGATGCTCATTTGAATTTGGGAAGGGAACGAGAGAGTGGCAAGTTAGAAGGGAGAGAGGAGCTCACTTGATTTCTGTTTTCTTTTTTTAATACTGGAACGCTTCCCGAATTTGCGTGTCATCTCTGCTCAGGGGCCATGCTAATCTTCTCTGTGTCATTCCAATTTTAGTATATGTGCTGCCAAAGCGAGCACCTCACTTGATTTCTTATTTCTCTTCTTGGCTTCATAACTTTGCCCAGCGGCTTCCATGACAACTTGATCCCAGCCTCCCCTTCGCCATGGTTTAACTGGAGAACACTGTTATTTGTTGATGTTCGTTCGCACTCCCCCTTGGCATAGGAATCCATTCGCGCATTCAGTGATCAGATCCTGTGATTACTGCTCCATGATCAGAGCTGAGTTTTTTCCATCAAAAGGCTTTCTTTGGCCATGATTTCACTCAGTCTCTCTCTCTCTCATCTCTTCCCTAAATAGATTTGCTGTTGGATTTTAATGCCAGTCCTCAAACCCACATTAACAAGAGTTCAATAAATTTTGCGTTGAAATAAAATTAAACCATGATAACACAGCTCTTCAGTATGAAACGCGATGCCCTTTATCTACACTATGAAATGTTCCCACAACCAAAACACAGAACTCACGTCTGCCCAGGACAGAGACGAGGGTGCTCGTGAGGGCCAGACTCGCATCGTCACCCAGAGTGAGGTTCACACAGTAGGTCCCGGAGCCGTTGAAGGCCCGTCTCACGGTCAGCAAGCACGCATCGCCCATGGCCACCTCCACGGGGCTGCAGACCGTGTCCTGGGCGAGCTGGCAGGTGGGGTCAGAAACGATGGTACAGACCTCGGTGGGAATGCTGAGGACGTGCACGGCACCGAGAGGGAGAGAGAGGGATGAAATGGCTTTAAAGGAAAAATCATTTCTATAAAATTGAAATCCACCTTATTTTTCCTCAAACTATGTGACGTTAAATTGTCACATAGTTTATCCTTAAATGAGGCTGGGAATGAGCTACTGTTTCCTCCTTATGGTCCGGAAGGTGAGGCTCAGGGATGGAATAGGAAGAAATTATGTGCCACCAAGGCAGGCAGGGGGCTGCTGGACCCTGTGTGAAGCCCAAGCCATTCCCTCTACCTTCTGACTCTCTAGGATGCAGGTGGCGTAGGTCTCAAGCAAATACATTATTAAATGCTGGAGCCGGCCCTGCCTAGCTTCCTGCAGAGGAAAATACAGCAACAGCAGCGACGACAGCTGAGTAGACGATATTTACTGTGTGAGGCGCTGCATTTTAGATATATGACATGGCCTGACTATTCCTCTCAATGACTTTATGAGGAAAGTAACTTTATCCCAGTGCAGCAAGGGACAAAGCACCCAGGACAGAAAATAATTGGCCCAAGGTCACACAGCAGTCAGAGGTGGAGCTGGGACTTGAACTAGAGATGTCTGCTGGCTGTCCTGGTGACCACTAGGCTACCGGCCAGGCAGGACTGTCTTGGTCACTGTTTCACTTCTGAGTAGACTTCCTGGAGGGAGAGACAGGGCTCTGATGCTGGGTCCCATGGGGGCGTGGGCTGCGATGGAGGCATGCCCTGGCCTCTGCCACAGCCTCACTCTTCAGTCAGCTTTTTCTCTAGTTCCTGTCAACCCTCAGTCCCCAAGCTGGAGAGCTTCTTAGCTACCATTTAAAAAATACATATATTTTATTGATTTTTACAGAGAGGAAGGGAGAGGAATAGAGAGTTAGAAACATCAATGAGAGAGAAACATCAATCAGCTGCCTCCTGCACACCCTCTACTGGGGATGTGCCCGCAACCCAGGGATATGCCCTTGGCCGGAATCGAACCTGGGACCCCTCAGTCCGCAGGCCGACGCTCTATCCGCTGAGCCAAACCGGCTAGGGCAACACACACATACATTTTAATCACTGGATTTACGTGTATGTGAATCAGTTAATTCATGAACAATTAATTGATATAGTACATATATTCACTAGTATCTAGTTAGTCTATAGTTAGTCTATAGTCTATAGTCTATAGTTATAATCAAACCATAGGAAGCCAAATTATATAATGCACTGGAGGAGCTTTGTAAATTATAAAGAGAGACAGGATTATCAGGCATTGCTGTTAATTAATGCTAGGACCCAGCTATTCCACACTGGCCTCTTGCCACTCTGGAGGAGCCTCGGGGAGCTTAAGAGTGGGGTTCTGCCCTGGCCAGTGTAGCTCAGTTGGTTGAGCATCGTCCTATGCACCAAAAGGTCGCAGGTTTGATTCCAGGTTGGGGCACATGCCTGGGTTGCAGGCTTGATCTCCAGTAGGGGGCATGCAGGAGGCAGCCTATCCATGATTCTCTCTTATATCAATGTTTCTCTCTCTCTCCCTCTCCCTTCCTCCCTCTCTAAAATCAATAAAAAACATATTGGGGAAAAAAAGAGTGAGTTTCTGAGCCAGACCTTGACCTGCAAACTGTGCTGTCAGGTACCCACTGTCTATGGGGGCAAGTTCTATAATTACTGTGGCCCTATCTGTAGTATGAGGAGACTCACAGGATTGTGTGAGAACAGATGTACAATGATAAGAACATAGTAACTGTTCGATCAATAATTATTATTCAGCTTCATCAGCAGGTAATGAGCATTGCCCTACTTTAGCAAAACAAATGCATCCTTGAGAAGGCCTCGTAGCGCCCTTCCTTGTCCTGACTTACTGGTGAACTAGAAATATGAATCCACTTAGTCGGGGAGACTGGAGTCAGGCCTCTGCTCGGGCCTGGGGTCTTCACTTGACCCGCCCGCTGAGGGAGGTGAAGTACTCACGTCCCTTCGCAGGTCACCAGGAAATCCATCAAGGGGTCCTCGGACTGTGGCCGGGGCATCAGGACTTCTGCCGTATCCACGATGTTCACCTCTAGAATTCCCTCTAACAAAACAAGCCCCGACAGAAAAACACATCAACATACAGTGGAAACCAGACCAAATCAAACTCCTCCTTAACACATCAGGAGGCCAAACAGAACAGAGGCAGCCTTCTCACACACCACACCCCCAGATCCGGGAATCGAACCCATAGCCTCACATACGTGCCCCTGCAGCATTTTCTTTTTTCTTTTTTTTTTTTTCTTTATTACTACTAGCATTTGGGTAGTTATGGATGAGGTTGTTGTTGAGAATAGGTTGAAGTTTGGGGGAGTCTTGGGAGTAGGTATATAGGCTCTAAGTAAAACTGTTATGGTTCTCCACATTAGGTACCTGATGTATTCATGTTAGTGATGAATCACAGCAATGTTAAAATGTTCTCTCTGGGAAGTTGCTCAGTGGTTAGAGCAGGGTGTGGACTGTCCAGCCAGTGGGCCCTATAATGACCAAGAAGTCATTTGGTTTGGCCCTGCCAAGGCAGTAGGGATGAATTAATTAAATGTTTGACCAAATATAGCAGGCTAATTTTTAAGTTAATAATTTTATAAATATCCAAATGGCTCTTGGCAGAAAAAAGGTTCCCCATCCCAGGGTTAGAGCATCAGCCCACAGACTGCAGGGTGGTGGGTTCGATTCCTGGTCAAGGGCCCATACCTTGGCTGCAGGTTCAATCCCTATCCCCGAGGGGGGTGTGAGCGGGAGGCAGCCAATCGATGTGTGTCTCTCTCTCCCCCCACTTCCCCTGCAGCATTTGCAAAGTCAAGCTGAATGGCTCTTGAGCCCACCCTAGCTCTTCATTTCTGGATCCCGTGTCTGTGTGAGAAGGTAGGACCCACTCTGGGCAGGCGTTCCAGGAGAAGGTGCCCCTGGGGGGATGCAGCCCTGGGTGCAGGCCTTGGCCAGCTTTGTTCATGAGGGGCTCAGCCCCAGGGCACACAGCGTGGGTTTTACCCCCACCCCGAGGCCCAGGGTGCATGGCCGGCTGCAGACCCCCCGTCTTCTCTGCTGGGTGCTTGTGGGCTGTGCCTGAAATGCACAGACGTGTGTGGTGGCCCTGTTCGCTCTCGTTTCTTACATACAGGAAGTGTGACTGTGAAAGCAGCTAGGGAAGAAAGCAGAAGTTGTGGGAACTTGTCATGGGCCTTCTTTCAAGGCTCATTCATTCAGGTTTCCGGGATGCACGGGGCCGGAGGTTCAGGGCCTGGGCAGGCTCATCAGTCTGTGGGCCTCACGGAAGGCTCATTTCCACTGGGATGTGGTGGGAAGGCTGGGGCAGGCAGGTGGGAATCTAGACACCAGCAGAGTCTTTGCTCTTGTATGTGCGGCATCACCTTGGACAGAGAGCGGGTGCCCCTGCTCCCCACCCGCCAGAGTCAGTGAAGTGAGTGGGTGGCCTGAGGTAGACTCCAACACCCTTCACCTGCTAGTCTTACCTACAATTGTGATGATGGCCCTGAAGTGGCCGTATCTGTTAATCCGGCAGTCTTCATCGGGAACCTCCCCCAGCTCCAGCAGGCTGTCTCCGGCGGGTGCTGCAGAGTTTGAATAATAGAGTTTAGGTTAGTTGCTGAGAATGTAAAAGATGTACATGATAAAACCAAAAATCTAAACACCTGTCTGCCTGCTCTTTAGAAAAACCCTATACTTTTAAATTGCTGTAGAAATGTGAACTAAACGTGTAACGATGCGTATACATGTGAGAACTGTAAGGCAGTATAATTGTTAAATTATGTAAGTAAACACAATCTCATATTTTGCTTAAACACAGGAAGCAAATGAAAGATAGAAGCCATTTTAAATATGTGATACAATAGTCATGATGAAATAAAGCAAGTCATCATAGACAAGGACATATTTTAATTTTGGAGGCAGGTTTTCTGGGCTCAAATCCTATATCCTTTGTTTTTATTTGTTTGTTTGTTTTTGTTAATCCTCACCCGAGGATATTTTTTCATTGATTTTTTTTTTTAGAAAGAATGGAAGAGAGAGGGCAAGACAGAAGCATCGATGTGAGAGAAACACATCGATTAGTCCCCTCCTGCAGGAGCCCTGACCAGGGCCCAGGCCAGGAAGGAGCCTGCAACCAAGGTACATGCCCTTGACCAGAATCAAACCTGGGACCCTTTGGTCCGCAGGCTGATGCTCCATCCACTGAGCCAAACCAGCCAGGGTTATCCTTTGTTTTTAGTTGCTTGAGACCATGGGCATATTACTTCACCTCTCTTTGCCTCAATGGACTCATCTGTAAAATGGGAATAATACTTCCTGACCTAGTGAGGTTGAACTATGAAACTTAAATGAGATGAGGTATATAAAACTTGCTTCTCAAACCTGCCACTTCAGAAGTACTTAATAAACATCAGTTTCCTTGTCCCATCATGCACTTCTATACATCTACTTAGATACGGTATGCTACAACACATATAAGATATATAATTTTAAATAGTAAGGTAGGTGCATCATAGATTAAGAAACAAGCAACATGAAAGAAGGCAATTTTCTCCTTGTGTGGCTGTCTCATAGCTGCTAAAGAGTCCTCAGTTATTGGTGAGCAGAGATGTGGGGAAGAAAAGGAGTGGGCACAGGACGCTTTTGAAAAACAACCCTTTGAGTCTGATTAAAGCAAAGAATGTAATGCTCTGTACACCTGAAACTAATATAATGTGATACCCCAATAAAAATTTTACCCCAATAAAAAGATAATTAGTTAGAATTTCAAAAGCTCTAATTAAGGTGTTGGTATTCCTTTAACAAGATAAAAAGACTGGAGAGAAAGTATGATACGAAAATGCAACATTACTTTCTCTAAAATTTAAGAAGGCATGAAATGGACCCAGTTTTGCGGGAAGGGCACCCAAGCTTCATTCAGAAGGGCCCCCTTTTTACCACAGGACACGCAGGCATGAAGCCCTGTGGGAGAGCTCGCCAGGCCTCCTCAGAGCCTTGCCTGGGGACTGAGCGAGAAGCTCCTCTGCTTTGAGGGGCCTTCTCAGAGCACTTCTCAGAGTATCTCTGGAAGCAAGTGTTCCATGGCACACACTTTGGGAAATGCCACTTGGGTAAAGCCCGGAAGGTTCCGATGCCATGTTGGGTTCAAATGCAGCGGTTTATCAGCAGGATGGTCTGTGGCAGACTCTTGGGGATGCTCCCTGAGTCTCGCAGTGGTCCTTCGGAAGTTACAGGGTAATCATTCATTTAGTGCTGAGATTTAACCGCTATGTTCTGTAGCAACAGAGTTGTGTGTACAGGATATTAAAGATGGCTGGCTGCTTCCAGGAAACTAGAGAACTTCTTTTAGAGTTCTTGACAGGCAGAATTTAGCTGTCAAGTTAGAGCATGGAGTCATGACTCTGCTATATTTCACAATAAAACTTTAAAAAATGACCAAATAATGAAAGTTGCTTTTATCGTTGGTAGAATGCTTATAAAAATGCACATGTTGTTTTGCAGACACACCTACAATCAAGTTTATATCTCTGTGTCTATATTTATAAAGTCAAGGTATGATTAAAGGGCTAATGGAGAAAAACTAACATTTTAACAGACAGATAGTCCCTGGCCGGGTAGCTCAGTTGGTTAGAGCATCATGCGGATTTGTCAAGGTTGTGGGCTCCATCCTTGATCAGGGCACATGCAAGATCCAACCAATGAATGCATAAATAAGTGGGACAACAAATGGATGTTTCTTCACCTCCCTCTTTCTCTCTCCCTCCCCCCCCTTCCCCCTTCCTCACTTCTCTCTAAAATCAATAAATAAAAATTAATAAAATGTATTTTAAAGAATACAATTAGTAATAAATTATAGTGTCTTGATTTACATATGTTTGGTTTAATAATATCTGATTTTATTAATAACACTATTATGATAGTTTGTAGTTGATAACAAACAGGTTTTTGGTAAAACAATGATAAGTTTAGACATCACGATGGCGTGGTCCCTCTGGGCTTGGTGACGGTGCCCTCTTGTGTCCAATGAGAGGATGTCAGCCTATTACAATCCCCTGGATCCTATGGGTGCTAAGACATGCTAATGGCTGAGTGGAAACTGAGGCTTCTCAAAGTAGACGCTTAAGAACTTCTTGAATGTCCTCATGTACTGATAGTAGAGGGTGGGATTTAATTAATTAAGCTTTATAGCCGGAACAGTTTTAATGTCTGGAGTCCTTCCAGCTTGCTGGCCAAGAAGTACTCTCAAGGCACATTCCTTTTGGGCCATTTAGGAAGAGCTTTTAGGTGTGGCTGTGTCTTCATGGGACAGTGCGTGGATGTGGGCAGCGCAGGGAGGAGAATGGAAGTGGCGAGAAAAGGGGGAGGGAGGAAGGAAAGTGGGATGGCCTGAATGTTTACAAGGCGCCAGCCAGTGTGTCTTCTCATAGGGACAAACACTGGGAGACGAACAAGAATGTGTGAGCTAGAAGCGGGAAGCACCTGTGCACGTGACCGAGGCCAGTGAAAACCAGGAAGGTCAAAGAGTGGTTTACAAGTCGCCAATGTTTACCTGCAAAGTGTCTTTAAGCACATTCTCCTTTCGTCCATATTCTAATAGCTTAAAATAGTGATAAAATGGCTTTAAAAACCAACAGATTTTTGCAGAGTCTCTACACAACCCTTTTAACTAGGGATGTTGCACTCTAACTTACATGCCCTTTTTTCTTTAGCAATTAAGGACCCCCCTGCCCCCAAAGATCACCTGGAAAACACTTACATAAAGAAGGAGTGGGTTTTGGAGGTCTGGGTGTAGGTGAAGGGCAAGGTCCAGGCACTGCAGCTTGCACAGTGAGGTTAAGGCTGAAAGTCCCGTTGAGCACATACGTGTGATTCAAAGTGCGATTGTTGGAAACAAACAGACCAGTGTTATCCCCGAAGTTCCACTTGTAGTTAATGGCAGACTCCCTCAGGAAGTGGCTGGGATCGTGAATCAGGACATTAAACAGAATGGGAATGTCCCTAAGGAAGGTTTCATCAGAGGAATTTCGATCGTTCTTCTGGGACATATTCACAAACACAAGAATCTGATCTAAAAGATATAGATACACACAAAGAATGCATGATTGCTTGGTTTTAAGTGGATGACTTCAATAACACTTTTAAGTTAAAATTTTAAATTAGGGATAATTCAGCATCATTTTTCTTTCTCCTGGGTAAGTTTTTCTAGAGTTTCCCCACGTTAATCTGGAAAACAGAGGGAGTACATCCTTGAATATAAATTGGAGGAGGAGTCCAGATGAACGGTAACCCCACCCAGAGCACTCGGCTCTCACTGCTTCTGAGCCCACTAACACCATCAGAACGAAGGGCCTCCTTCCTCCTCAGTTGCTTGAGCGTTCACACCACTCACCTGTGACCAGGTACACATCTTTCACTTTTGCGATAGGAGTGTATGTCCTTCGGTTTCTTCTATAGACAGCTACTTCCATGACTTGAGGGCCAAGCGTCACGTTGGTTGTGTTTATAGAAACACTCGCTGAACACCGTCCCAATTTCTGGTAATACTGACCTGTGAGAGGGTGGAAACGGTTAGGTGCTGGTTACTATTACATGACCATTATAGGAAGTTGTTTCTTAACGACGAGCCACGGACATTTTGAGATTGCTCTGGGGAGGGAGCGCCAGGAAGGGTTGTTACATAAAACTTTATAAAACAAACCCACAGTTAAATAAACGTAACTGCATGGGTAAAACGGACAGAGCTGTTTGGTGGGATAACGCAGTCATTGGTTCATAAATAAACACTTACTATAAATAAGTGACTTGGCACTTGAAATAGATGTATTTCCCACAGGAAATACTTTTAATGTAATGGTGAAGTGGCTAATGGCGTTTTAAAAAAATGTATCCAAGAATCAACCTTATTTTTGTAATAATATTACTATTTTGGCTATATTATTAAGAAGCTTTTTTTTTTAAAGGGAACTAGAATCCTCCACTTTCTAATAGTATCTGCGTATAAGTAGGCAGTAAGTGATGGATGGTGGGGTGGGTATAAAAATGGAGCCATTCTATAAAAGCAATCTAGGACACCCTGGAGCCATTCTTTTTCTTTCTGAACCCTAACCTTTAATCTAACTGCCACTGTCCAGCAGTGAAAGGGACTCCTCTCCTTCAGGGCACAAGGATGTTTCTCATCCTTTTGAGTCACCTGGTGTAGCTGTGTCATTGGAACGACAGGTATTGTAAGATGGATGCTTGTGAGGTGGGGGTGGTGAAAGACCATGTTTATCGCCTGGTCAAAGGTTTTAGGAAAATACACTAGACTCCTCAGGGATGTGTAATTTGGAACCCCCCCCTCCCCGTACCAGTGACATGCAGAGGGAGTTCCTGTGGAGTCTCCGAGGAGGTTTATTATATGTGAGGAAAATGTTAGTTCTGGCACTGAGAGAGAGACCTCAGGGGCAATGCTTAGTTGAGGGACAATATCAGTTAACTCTAAGACCTCAGCAGAAGACGAGAATTCAAAATAGTCTTGTTAGAAAACCAAAAATTCCTGGCTAAAGGCTGATCGCAAATAAAGACATCTTAACTAGTTAAGTTAGTGGATGTTAACTAGGCTAAACAGCCTCTGAGTGTCAGTAAGCGTAAGTGACTCCGTGAAAACTCCATGTCAGGTCAAAGAAATCATGACACTGGGTGAGGTGACAGACAAAGGGCCAGACATGCACTGAAAAAAGTCAGCTTTAAACCAATGATTTAAATAGATGGCATAATATTTGACAGGTATTTTGTACTTTGTTCGATCAGAATGCATTATTAATATTTTGTTTTGATTTGCAAATAGTTAATTGGAGAAAGAGAAGCTTTCTCTAATTTACGAAATAAAAGACAAAACATTTAGAAATTTGGAGGCTGCACTATTGGTAGCAATTTTCAAATCCTCAGAGCCAGGTGGCACTTGGTGACATTTTTAACTAAGGACTTAGCAGCTTTGCTAGAAATAACCTAAATTTCTAGCAATAAAGCAAAGTGGATACCATTTGTGCCAAAGAGCAGTGGTTAGATTATGTTATTTCGTCACAATGGAATATTATATAGTCATTAAAATAATGTATATAAAGAATTTTAATGATGTCGTCAAATACTCGTGACATTAAGAAAAAAATGTGTGTACATTATAATCCTAATCAAGAAATACTAATGAAGAAAACACCATTATGTTAACAGTGGTAACCTCTGGTGTTAATTATGGGTGACTTATTTTTCATTTGTACATTTCTGCATTTTCCAAATTTCCTAAAAAAACCATTTCTTTAATTCTTAAAAATTCATTTGACAATATAAAAAAATAAAGAATAAATCAACAAATGTCCATCTGTGTGTCATTCAAATAAATAAATATTAGTAGCCCTGACTGGTTTGGCTCAGTGGATAGAGCGTCGGCCTGCGGACTGAAGGGTCCCAGGTTCGATTCCGGTCAAGGGCATGTACCTTGGTTGTGGGCACATCCCCATTGGGGATGTGCAGGAGGCAGCTGATCGATGTTTCTCTCTCATTGATGTTTCTAGCTCTCTATCCCTCTCCCTTCCTCTCTGT